CCGGATAGATGAGTTGTTGGATCAACTTCGAGGTGCCAAGTGGTTTTCAAAGATAGACTTGGCCTCGGGATACCACCAAATTCCGATAGATCCCTTGGATATTCGAAAAACGGCGTTTCGGACGAGATACGGCCATTACGAGTTTGTGGTGATGCCGTTTGGTCTAACCAATGCACCGGCTGCCTTCATGAAGATGATGAATGGCATTTTCCGAGAATTTCTAGACGAGTTTGTGATCATCTTCATCGATGATATACTTGTTTATTCTAAGGATTCGGAATCCCATCAAGATCATCTAAGGGCGGTGTTAGAACGGTTGAGAAAGCACGAGTTATTTGCAAAGTTAAGCAAATGCTCATTTTGGCAAAGGAGTATTGGATTCCTCGGACATATTGTTTCGGATAAAGGAGTGTCCGTCGATCCGGAGAAGATAAAATCTATTAAGGATTGGCCACGACCGAAGAATGCCACTGAGATAAGAAGTTTCCTCGGGTTGGCGGGATATTACCGAAGGTTCGTTAAGGGCTTTGCGAGTATGTCCCAACCGATGACCCGGCTAACCGGAAAGGATACAAAGTTTCAATGGTCGGAGGAATGTGAGAAAAGTTTCACGGAATTGAAGGCTATGCTAACGAGCGCTCCGGTATTGGTGCTACCGGAAGAAGGTGAACCCTACATGGTCTATACGGACGCATCGATCACGGGACTAGGATGCGTATTGATGCAAAAGGGTAGTGTAATCGCTTATGCTTCAAGGCAATTGCGTAAACACGAAGGAAATTATCCTACGCATGACTTGGAAATGGCGGCGGTGGTGTTTGCCTTGAAGATTTGGCGATCGTATCTTTACGGAGCTAAAGTCCAAATCTTCACCGACCACAAGAGTCTTAAGTACATATTCACCCAGCCGGAGTTAAATCTAAGGCAAAGAAGGTGGATGGAATTCGTGGCGGATTACGACTTAGATATTGCATATCACCCGGGGAAAGCAAATCAAGTCGCGGATGCCTTAAGTAGGAGACGTTTTGAAGTAGAAGCGGAGAAAAACCAAGAGGCTTTGGTCAATATGATGGGAACTTTGCATTTAAATGCATTGTCTAAGGATTATGAGCCATTGGGATTAGGTGCGGCCGATCAAGCTGATCTACTTAGTAGAATTCGTTTGGCTCAAGAGAAAGACAAGGAGATAAACGATTGGGCAAGGAACAATAAGACAGAAATCCTCAAAGAGGCGCACCAATCGAAGTTCTCGATCCACCCCGGATCGAGTAAAATGTACCGAGACTTGAAACGATACTACCATTGGGTTGGAATGAAGAAGGACGTAGCGGCATGGGTTGCTAAGTGTTCGATGTGCCAACTAGTCAAGGCGGAACACCAAGTTCCGAGTGGATTGGTGCAAAATCTACCAATGCCGGAATGGAAGTGGGACTATGTAACAATGGACTTTGTTACCGGGTTACCTACAGGGATCAAGTCTAAACACAATGCGGTTTGGGTTGTGGTGGACAGATTAACAAAGTCCGCGCATTTTATGGCCATTTCAGAAACGGATGGAGCCGAGGATATCGCAGCAAAGTACATAGACGAGATAGTCCGGTTACATGGGGTTCCGGTAAGCATTGTGTCGGATCGGGATACACGTTTCACGTCGCATTTCTGGAAGGCTTTCCAAAAAGCCTTGGGGACGCGGGTGAACTTGAGCACAGCTTACCATCCTCAAACGGACGGACAATCCGAGCGTACGATTCAAACCCTTGAGGACATGTTACGTGCATGCGTCTTGGATTGGGGTGGGAATTGGGAAAGGTACTTAAGGTTGGTGGAGTTCGCGTACAATAATAGCTATCAAGCTAGTATTGGTATGTCGCCTTACGAAGCGTTGTACGGCCGAGCATGTCGGACGCCGCTATGTTGGACACCGGTGGGCGAACGTATGCTGTTCGGTCCGAAGATTGTGGATGAAACCACCGAAAAGATGAAGTTCCTTAAGATAAAACTAAAGGAAGCCCAAAACCGACAAAAAAGTTATGCGGATAAGCGTCGAAAAGAGTTGGAGTTCCAAGTGGGAGACTTGGTATATCTTAAGGCGGTGACTTATAAGGGAAAAGGGCGATTTACTACAAGGAAGAAATTGAGTCCAAGGTACGTTGGTCCATACAAGGTGATCGAAAGGGTAGGGGCTGTGGCGTACAAACTCCAACTACCACCAAAGTTGGATGCATTCCACAAGGTCTTCCATGTATCACAACTTCGGAAATGTCTAAGCAAACACGAGGAGCGTGTCGAAGATATTCCTTCCGAGTTAAAAGAAAACCTAACGGTGGAAGCAAGACCAATTCGAATCATGGATCGAATGGAGAAGGGAACTCGGAGGAAATGGATAACCATGATAAAAGTTTTGTGGGATTGCGGTGGCCGCGAAGAATCTACTTGGGAAACGGAGAATAAGATGAAGGCCGATTTTCCTAAATGGTTTAAGGAGATGGATGAAGATCCACTTGAGTCGGATTCGGGGACGAATCCCATTCAAGGGGGGGAGACTTGTAACACCCGCGATCCTCAATAGGATCGCCGGGGAAGACTTGGTTCGAGGGAAGTGTGGAAACCTCGGGCTAAGTCTAAGGGAAGCGGATAGAATGGCTTCCGAAGTGCTTAACAAGCTGAAACGAGCTAGAAGTGATGAGCTAACCAGCTCGACTAGCTGGACCAGCTGATTGGTAGCTCACCTAAGCTGGACGGAGTGAAGGTCAGCTGGTCGAGTGACAGTCTAGCTAGGTCAGCTGGTCGGGTGGGAAGGTAGTAAGGCGGTTGGGTTGACGGTTACGTACGTTGGCCGAACAGACACAGACGAACGGTTACTCAAACATGCATGAATGAGCGGTTTCAACGAATACATGCGAACAAGCGTTTCCACCGAACGGGCGCCTTTGGGGAAAACGGTTTTTATCCGTAAACACTATAAATAGAAGGCGATTCCTTCATTTTACGGACACGCGCAAACACCTAAAAATCCAGAGAAAACTCGAAGGCATTTGCCGAGAGGAATACGGTTAAAAGGAGAGTTTGCGGAGCCGAGCGTTCTATCGGCGATCGAGAGGGGCAACACGGATCATCCACCGATCGAATCCGTGAAGTCAAAGTGGGTGTAAAGCCGTGGTAATGCCTCGGAGATTACGATCTCCGGACGTGCGGATGGTATAAGGGTTAGAATATTGTGGGTTGTTTGATTAGTTCGTTGATCGGCCTAGTCATTCATGAGCATATTCATATCGTGCATACTTTGTGAGGAGTAACGGTTTGGTTGAGACGGGGAGGCGGCTCAGCAAGGAATCGGCGGATCCGCGAGGATCTACCGGTTCTAGGCCGAACTGTTGCGCTTACTTCCTCTCTCCAATCCGTTTTCCGGACCAGAGGATTATGAGAACGTATAGTGCATTGCATGGACTTGCATCCACTAAGTAAAAGACGAGTACTTATGTCTTGTTGGTTTCAGGGAAGGATGGTGATCGTGGGAAGGATATGGCTTAGGCGCGAGAGACTCATGGTCGAGAAGATGGGTGGTGGTGAATCGGGTAGAATAGGATCGATTATATGACTTGTAATAGCTTATATGCAAACTCATAAGTTGTATCGAATCCTTGACTTATCTAATAAAGTATCCGATCTTTTGTTTTACTCTAAGGTTGCATAATGACTCTAAATAATGAACCGCGGAATAATATGAAACGGATTGACTTAAGGAATGAACCCTAAAATTTGGCTAAGGATCGGACCACATAGTGATCCGATCGGGAAGAACCTCTCCGGGCCTAGGGAGTCCGGGTTGGGGTCTTTCAGGCTCCTTCATCGCCGGTTTAGTCTTCGAAGTGGACGCCTTGTTTTTGGCATCCACTTCGGAACGATCCCGAACGCGTTTCCGGCAGTTGCTGGCCTCCTCCTCCAAGTCCTCTTCCTCTTCACTGTCGGATGGAACGGCGAAGACAGGGGCGTTCACGGGACCCGGGACTCCTCTAGCACGGAGATACATCCGAAGCATCTTCGGGATCTCAGCAACGGAATCGAAGTTCCGCCACTCCCATTGAAAGGGATCACTCTCCAAAGCCCGTATCTTCCTTTCCACCCGAGCAATGCGAGCCTCGAGCGTCTGCCTTTTGAGTCCCAGCCGCTGCCTCTCTTCACACAAGCGACGGTGCTTGTCGGCGACCTAGCATAAAAATGAGTGAATAAGACGAAACAAGAAGTTTTAAATCAAAAACTTTAATATTTACCTTGTCAATAAAATCGCAAGCCTCTTTCTTCTCCTTCGGAGGAAAGTGAAAGACGGCGTGAGGGAAGAGAACGCCGGCCGGTTCAAAGCCGTCGCCAGACAAGAAGAGTGGACTGCCGGGATCAACGGGGGCTACTGTTTCGTTTTCTATTCTTAAAATATTTCTCAAGTTAGATTCTAGAGTCATGTTTAATAAAGCCTAGAGGTAGGTAAGCCTTTATTTATAATGATTTAGGGTTTGTCTTGGAACCATAAATCCATTAATGGTAGCGTTTCCGAGTGGGTTAAACCATTTTTGAAAAATCGAGAAAAGGCAATTATTGCATTAAAAGACGAGCCGTTTTCCTTGAGAAGGGAAAGGGCAACCGTCGCATTAACTACAAAAGTTTCTAAGGCCCAAGCCCAACAAGTTTACCGAGTTGACTAAACCCGAAGTGGGGAACTCGCTTTAAGCCGAGCTCAGCTCTCGCATTCTAAAGAGAAAGGTCTGATCAGCCTAAAAATCTCGAAAGCATTGCCACAAGGCCACAAAAGGTTAAAAGCGGACTTTGCAAACCCGCATATAATTTTAACCAAACCCCCTGGGGTCACAACCTAGAAAGGTTTAAAAGCCTCCTCAGGCAAATATCTTGTTCAAAAGAAACAATAAAGCCTTCTTAGGCCAAAAATAAGTTTGGAATTAAGTCTTAAAATTAAAGGGACAATCCCCAATTTAAAGTGGACACAGCCACTACGGAGTGATCTCCACCTCGGACTCCGGCTCAGCAACCAGAGTTTCATTCACCTCCTTGACTGGTGCTTGATCAGATGAAGCTCCCTGACCACCCTCCGCGGTACAACCAACCTCCGGAGTGACCTCCGGTACCACAGGAGCTACGGGCGGGACAATGCCTTCCGTCTCGCTTGAACCTGGAAATAATAATTCCAGTCAATCAAAGGTACAAGGTAAGAAAAGGTAAGCCTCAGGAGCCAAGCGTTACCTGCCCAGTCTAAACCCGACTCACTTATAGGAGGTGATTCAGTAAAGAATTCCTCGAAGTCAAGCGGGTTGAAGGTCGAAGTGGGAAGAGCTGCCAAGCGACTCCGTTTTTCAGAAAGATTAGTTGACAGCTCAGTCCTCTCTTGCTCCTCAGAGAAATCTGCTTCATGGATTTGATCCAGCAGAATCAGGTTGCTTTCATGCTCTTTGATGTCCGACTCTAAGTCCGACCTAGCCTTCTCAGTTTGCATGAAGCGAATGGCCCCTTGGATCAACTCCATCCCGCGTCCCTTAACCTCCTTTCTGGCCTTCGATGCCGACCTTGCCAATTCAGAATCACGCAACTTGGCTAGCGCCTTGTATTTCGCGTTAAGCTCGATAAGTTGGTTGTTCAGGGTGTCGGCGGTTGATTCGGATTCATGGAGTCTACCCTGAACACCAGAAAGTTCGTCCTGGAGCTTGTAATTCCGGTCGTAGTAGTCTTGCAGCTCCTTTTTACTTGCGCCAGCTCGGATGTTAACCTGTCGACCTTATCCTCCAAATCGTGCTTGGAGCCAGCAGAAGAATTGAGCTCAGTCTCAAGAGCTGAGAATTTCATCTTCCACATATCAATCTCCTTCTCCCGTCCAATGACCAACCCTTCGTAATGTTCGATCATGTCGTTAAGTTCGCTATGAGCCTGGCATCATACGTGAACCCGGGATGGCGAGTCAGTTCGCAGAGTGGCAATACAATAAAAACAAAAAAAAAGGGGAAGAAAACGGAACTAACCCGAGATGAATGATAAGCGTGAAGCAAGTAGCGTTCACGAATTGCAGGGCGCCATTTGTTGAAGTCTGGCAAGATCGAACCCGAACGGGTCTTGAAGCATCGGAAGACGCTGCCTTCTGTCTCCATAGCTGCGAAGAAGGAAGAATTGTAAAAATTAGAATTTTTATAAAGACAAAAAGTTTAAGCATGTGTAAATCACCAAACCTGAAAGCGATTTGACTTGAGGGACAAGAGCAGGCTTCAGCCTCGAGGAAGCATCTCGAGATTCAGAATCTCCACTTTTAGGGGATGCACTCCGAGCAGTCTTTTCGCTGACGGGCTGGGAAGAAGAAGACATGTCAACAGGACGGGGAGGACCCATTGGTTCAGTAGGAGGGGAGGATCGAGGTGAACGGTCAGTCCGGGCCCTTGATTTCTCCCTTCGCGGAGACAAGTCATCACGGGACGACTTGTCCCTCTTCTTACGAACCAAATTCTTAAGTGGTTCGTTGCTAAAATCGTCTCGGGGAGGACGAGGAGAATCACGACGAGGAGACCGCTCTCTCCGAGGAGAACGCTCGTCGCGGCCCTCGCGGCGAGGTGTTAACCTATAAGCAGCAACGGATCTGGCTCCCTCGGAGCTGTTGTCATCGACCAGCAGGGTTCTGCTGTAATCTTTTTTGTCAATGGCGGTCGCAAGGAACGCCTTGTTTTCATCACAAGCCTCTGCTATCGGCTTGGAGAGTTTCTTACGCTGGGCAGCGAGGGCCCGAGCTGACATTCCCTGAGTTGGGGGAGGAGGCGGAAGACGATGAAGTAGATTGGGAGGACTCATCCTGAGTTTCCGGTTGGCCTCGACAAACCGGTCGAGGGTGAAAGAATTCCAAAGGGTTTCCCCTTCAAGGATTGTTTTGAAGAACTTGACAAATTCTTCGGTCGGGAGAGTTGAAGCGATGAAAGCTGCGAAATGAAACAACGAATTCGGTCAGTAAAAAATAATAATAAACAATAAAGGAATATACGACCTAGTCTCTACCAGGTTTCGCAGACCACTTCGATGGGAGTACATCGGAAAGATTCCCAATCGAAGCGGGAGTTTTCTTAATCAGAAACCAAGGATGGTGCCAGTTCTCATCCTTGTTCGGGAGGTGCGAGATGACGTTTCTATTGGCATTTGGATACGCTGAGAAGTACCCAGTTTTCTTTGATGAACTCCTTACGCTTAGGAGTTCATTCAGCTCGGGGACTCCAATGACGTAGCCGGCCTCCGCCGCAACGGTTATAATCCCGAGGATGGTTCGGAGGAGATTGGGGGTCAATTGAGGTAAAGCGATCTCGAGAGCCGCCAAGAATCGAACTAGGGCTTCAGGAAGGGGGAAGGTCAATCCGCAGCCCTTGAAGTAAATTTCGTAAACGCAAAAGTAGCCGGCACGGTGGTTCTCAGGAGATTCCGTAGGGTCGGCTATTTGCGCCTCCGCTATAATTCCAGGAGGAATTTGACAAAGCCCCTTCAATCGTTCAAGGGATTGAAGAGTACAGGTGGATTTGTAATGAGGACCGGCGATGTCGTTAGGACGAGTGCATTCGTCATTACTAGAACGCCTCTCGTCGTAAGACGGAGATTCAGGTCTTTCAGAATCAGAAGTCATCGAATAAAAATGAAAAATTCAAGATCCGGCGAAGAGAGTTTTTTTTTTGTGAAGAAGAAAAGAGAAGAGAGTAATGGTGAAAAGAAGTTACCTCAAGCTAATGATGAAACCGCCTCGGAAGTCGTGTAGGAAGTGGGAAGGTTTTTCCCGTTTTAATAGTAATTAAACAATATACGGTCATAATGATGACAGATGTCACTCAGTTTAAAAAAGGCTAGTGCCGAAATTAAAGGAGTGATGAGATTTTCGGCGGGAAATCAGAAAGATTCTCGAGCGCAATCTTTGGCTATTTGAGCATTTAAAGTCCTCCGAATTGGAATAGCACTTCGAAGAACTTGGGGCTAATTGTTGGTGTCGGATCCCGCACCAGAAGTACGAGACCAACCAAAGATTGCCACGTAGACAAGATAATGGCCCATAAAGAATGAAGTCCATTGGACCCAGGAGTCAAAGGAACGGTCGAAGTGGCTGTCACCACTTCGAGAATCCGAAGTGATTACATTGCGACATGAGTTCGATGAAGAAGGCATGGGTAAGATGGTTCAAGGATATTTGGGCCGAATAGGCGAGGCCCACGAAGATCAGAGTCAACTCAAATTCAAACGTTGAGCATTAAAGTCAAAGAATCAAAACGGACACATTTAAGAAGGAATAATTGTGCTTAATTACTCATTTTAATGTCGTTTCTCTATGTATAAATATAGAGGCCAATGGCCATGTAAAGGGGACCCTTCCTCTCAAGAGAGAAATATTATAGCAATTTTCGTAACAATTCACAAGTTTTTATACATTCATTTTTGTCCCTCAAGAATAATCTTTCCCACCTAATAGAATACTTGAGTGTGTGAATCCGACATCCACATATAACTTGAGCACGAATCCATGCGTCTGTGGAAGTCTGTGATCGATGCACATAGAAGATATCCAGTTCTTGTTTCTTCATAAACGGAAGAGTTGTTGGGGTTTAAACTCCTTTAAGTGCAACCAGGTCCAAATAAGGAAACTTGGGTCCTGGAAACAAAAGAATTCTCTAGACTCGCCATAATTAAGCAGTTAAGTGTGGGTCAGTAGGTTTAAGCAGTTAAGAGTGAGTCATTGGTTATCGAAGCATGTGGCAGTCATTGTGTTAGACTGTGTAGAACATTAAATAGATGAAGTTTGTGTACTATTGGGTCTAGTGTCAAGTGTCAGAGGCCAGGAAGCAAAATTAAATAATCTTTTGTCTAAAAGATAGTCAAATTCAAAGTTATACATTTTGGATTTCGAATACACTTAGATCTATGTATACTGTTGTAACACCCTGGTTTCAAAAATATGGTGATGCATGCGGAGAAATTTAAAAGAATTGATTTGATCACCTATGTCACCAAAATACACTTATCTTTTCGGTCAACTGTCCTGAGAGAACTTCACAGTTAAGCGTGCTTGGGCTGGAGTAGTTTAAGGATGGGTGACCTTATGGGAAGTGATTGTCGGAACTGTGTGAGTGAGGACAAAACACAGAAAAAGATCATGTGGTGATTTGTAGGGTCGGTAAACAAGTCTTTAAAGTCTCTTTA